AATATTTTGGTGGACGTCTTAAAATATAATAGATTTTATAATTCCAATGGAAAAACAGTACCGATTTTTTTGTATGGGGAGTGATGCAGTCTAATGTACATATGTATATAAATATGTTTGTATGTATGAGATTTAAACTGTTTGGTTTAGCTATTGCGTGAACTAATGAGAGTGTGAGAAATAGGTATTTAAACTTTATTAAAAACAATACATTTTTTTTACAATATGAAAAGCTTTATGCATATGCAAACCTACATACATACTTGCTTGGTTGATGCCACGAATACATTTAGTCGCCTTGAACAATCGCAAAACGCTTATAATTTCTCTAGCGTTAAAAAAGGCAAAATGTTTTAATCGATTTTCCCGCCATTCTGGAAAAGCACCTTAATTTCGTTCAAACCATCAAAAACTAAAATATTTGACATACTTTTCAACTTTCCGAAAACCATCCCAGCAACTGCAATTGCCAGTTGCCATCTGCAATATTGTTTCGGCAACTAGCAAAGCAACTGAAGTTCGGTTGCCATCGACAATCGACCCATTGGACTTACATATATGGTTTTTGTCAGAATGTCGTGCTCCTATTATTTTTCTTATGACTGTACATACATTTGTACGCTAGTAGGTTAACCAAATGTCCCTCTCATCGATAAGGCGCAATGCGAGCTATGCGGGACCGACATAAGGGCCAGAGAGGGAAGTGATGCGTATTTTCCGGAATAAAAAGCGAGATGTCGAAATATGTAAGTTTGAAGAGCTTGAAATGTTGTCCGACAAGAAAATTTTACCAGGAAGTTAGGCGGCTTACGAAAGGTTTCAAGACCAGGGGAAATTCCTATAGGAACCGATATCCAGAAGGTGCTTAAATTAAGAAGGCAACACTTTTCCATCCTATTGAGCAGTGAAGATGAACCCGAGCTCTCAGTTGAAGACGATGGAATTGTTGCATCCGACCTTGAATATGTACGAATAGACATTTCTTGTGGATCTGACGGTCTACTAGCTGAGCTATTCAAACGCGGCGGTGATAAGTTGAGCCCTGGTACATCCACCACAGAATAGGTATTCACCGTATTCCACATACACCGACAGCACTAAAAGAAGTTGCCTTTATGCGAGATTTCGAACAGAGCGACTACATTTCGTGCTATTTCTTTAATCTGATGTTGGAGATGATAATAAAAGCCGCCGAACTTAACCGCTCATGCACAATTTTTCGCAAAAGCATATACATAATTGCTGGCGTAAGCCGACGACATCGACATTATCGGTGAAAACAATGCTACTAGAATGAGGACAAAACAAAGTATCTCCTTTCATCAGACAAACAGTCAGCGCATAGGTGCGTCGAAAAGTACAGGGTGCCCTAGGTCGTGTTACCGACTTCCGGGCTCGAATCTTCACATACGATAACGTATTACTCGTCACGTAAAAACACATTTTTCGGATTATGACAAACGTGAACGTACTCTTTATCCCATTCCACTAACAACTAACATATCACGTAATTTTCTTTCGTATGGTTTGCGATCCGTGAACGGATGCTACAATTCGAGCCCGGGGTTGGACCGGAATTCCATTCCGGAAATCCGTTTCGGAAAACGGTTCCGACAAAAGTTTCGGTCGAAACTGGATGTCGGTAATACGACGAAAAGGTAAAGCATCCTTGACTTGATAATTCGTATTTTTCATTTTCCAATAAAAACATCTTTGTCCATTTTAGAAGTTTAGGACGAGTTGTGGTTCAACGATTATATAGAAGTTAAAAAAGGCACTTCCCAGAAAAACTCACACCCCTATTGCGAGTGTCGACTAGTAGTAGATAAACGACTCTTATTCAAAAAGCGGCTGTGAATAGTTTTTTAACGATCATTTTTCTACAACTGTTTCTTTGTAGAAGGATAAGCGACTATTAACTATTCACACGCACTTATTGAACGAGAAAACGACTTTGAAAATGCCTCGGACAATCGATAATCGACTAACATTCGTTTATCTACCACAAGTCAATAGGGATGTCAAACAAAGGTTACGTACATATTTTTATCCGGAGAATCAGAATCTGTAGCAAAACCATGTATATAAATGGACTTCCCGTCAGTTTAACCCGCTTCCGGTTGAAAACGGAAGTCGGTAATACGGCCAAAAGATAGAGCATCCTCGACTTGGTAGTTCATAATTTAACGTTTTCCAATAAAAAAACATTTTCCTACATTTTAGAAGGTCTAGCACACCACACTTGTATTATTTTTCGAGGGTAAGAAACTGACTAAAAACTTCAAAGCCGTTTTTTTTAATTGTATTTTGTCAGTTATGACATTACTAAAATGAAGTAATATGTTCTTACAAATAAGACTCTATGAAGGTTACTTAAATTTTTGATGTTAGTATATCTAAGTCCACTATCATTTTCTAGTTAAAGTTTTAACCAATATTCTTTTACAGCTGGCACGATTGTCTTTCCTGATCGGCTGCGCAGCTTGGCTAATCTTGAACAGCGAGACAAACGTGCTGCCGATGAGCGAATAACTTCGCGCGATGAAGCGAATAAAGTTTTTGAGCCTCGTATCAACGATGTGCAGGCGAATGCTTCCTACATTCCATACAACAATGTACCGATGGGTGCAACCCATCATAAAGGTCGTTTGTTTGTGACAATGCCACGACGACGCATCGGCATACCGTCCACCCTTAATTACATTGATTTACAGAAGGACGGCACACAACATAGTCCCAAATTGCATGCATATCCCGATTTTGAAACGAACTATTTGAATGTGAGTCTGATATTTGTAACTGTATTACATATCGTCGTCACCTGAAAAGTAAAAAAGCCGTATCAAAGAACGATTTTTTTTTGTGCATAGAACAACATTTTTTTTTTGCATCATGATTCATCAATCAGAAAATGTTGAATTTTTGGTTTGTTACGGCCTTTGCATTTCAGCTGACGATATGTAAGTATATTTTTGCATACTAGTGCTATACACTGAATTCGTTTACCGTTAGCCGAACTTCGAACCAAATTCAAATCGCATCATTTCGGTATATCGCACATCGGTGGACGCTTGCCAGCGCCTATGGTTTATCGATACCGGCATGCTTGAATATCCCAGTGAGTTCGTTTATTTATTTTTTATATACTCGTAGTTTTTCTAATTTTCATAGGCAAATGCATTTACTATTTTTATGTCCTATAGATAATCGCATGCAGGTACAGAGGCCAGCAATTTGGGTGGTTGATTTGACGAATGATCGTGTTTTACACCGCTTCGAAATTCCCGCAAACGTCGTGGATACCGGACGGGGTCTTGCAAGCATTACGGTGGATGTTAATGAGCGTCGTTGCAATGATGCTTTCGCTTATATACCCGATTTAGTAAATCGACAGTTATTCGTTTTTAGGTAATAAGACTTGCAAAATGTACAACACACATATTGGCAATGCTATTAATTAAGAACTGCTATATTTTCAGCCTTAAAGATAACCGCATTTGGAGCTTTAGTCACAACTATTTCAATTTTGAGCCACTAGCTGGCGATCTGCAAATCGGTGGCCAAACCTTCCGTTGGGATGATGGCATCTTCTCCATCACACTTGGTCCATATGGCCCTGACGGTTATCGGCCCGTTTACTTCCATCCCATGGCCAGTAATACAGAATTCGTCGTCGATAGCAGTGTGCTACAGAATGAAGCGAATGCAGCGCGCAGCGATCACGGCAATGATTTCCGGCCATTGGGCAGACGCGGCGTCAACCGACAATCCACAATGCATCAATATGACCCGCGCACGGGCATTATTTTCTATGCGGAAATACAACGGAACGGTATTGGTTGCTGGAATACAAATAAATCATTTTCACCACAAAATCATGGCACAGTCGCAAAGGATGCGCAACGCATGATATACCCCAGTGACTTGACGGTGCGTTGAATATGTGTAGAGTTGAGTTGCGTGAGTTAAACGCTTTTTTTTAAATATTGTAATTTCGTTCGCAGATTGACGAAGATGGAAATATCTGGGTGATGACCAATTCTATGCCAATATTCATTTATTCTACGTTGGATACAAATGTAGTGAATTTCCGAGTGTGGAAGCAAAATGTTTTTGAAGCTGCAAGGAATACAATTTGTGCTCCTTAGGGGCCAGTAACAGCGAACTTTATTAACACATTCACGAAATTGTCGAGAAATATTTTATCTATGATGAAAATGCAAAATTTTCACTTCCGCTGCCAAAGTAGGTAAAATTTTGTGGTTGGGAAATTTCGAAAAAACTACCTTGTTGTGTAATAGAAAACTATAATAAGCATACATATTCGTTGTTTTAAAATTCTTGCAGACTATAACCATTGATACAAATAAATAGTAAGCCTGTTCCAGGTACGACACCTTATTACGTAGGGGTTATTAAAGATGAAAATAGCCTTTCCTGTAAATCCTGTCCTGCAAATCCTTGAACAGGCAAGCAAACACATTTTAGTTACTTTCCCATTATTACCAGCTGCGAATGTGTTAAATTAGATAGCTTGTTGATGACCGGATTTTTTTCCAACTTTCCAAAACCTATGTATACGAATATTTGTACTAAAGGACAAGTAAATATAAGTTTTGTTTAATATTTCTAGAATTGAGTATATTTTTTATTGCGATTCAAACAAAATAACATACACAAAATGTGTAAAAAAAGTTAAGTGGTTATGATAATTTTAAGAGATTACATGTACAAAAAAGAATTATCACGTTTTCCATATGCGATTAACTAAAACTACAGGCACTATAATATTGCATGACAATTTTAGATTTTTTTAATGGGTATTCAAATTCTAAATTACCTTAAAAGACTTAAGTATGTTTTCTTAACCAATATACTATATGTATGTACATAAAGTAAATGAAAATAACGAATAGTCTTCTGCATGTGATGTTTTTGCTGCCTTAAATGCCTCTTTTATGTATCGGAATGTATGTACATACATTTAAGTATGCCTATACTTTTTTTTCATTTAATCATAGTTAAGTGTTTCAAAAATTTCTTATACATAAATTCAGATCTAGTTAGTATGCATTTGATTTTTAAGAGATTATGAAGTTACAAAAATACCTATGTATAAGTGTACGTATGCATGTAGTTATAGTAGATATATGAACATTTCCCACTATCACTTTTTATATCTAGTTAATGGCTAAACTGACTCGCCTCAATAATTTGCATAAAATTGTCGTGTAAATGGAATGTTTATTCTTATAAATGTGTGTGTGTGTGGTTATTATTTTTTTCAACTTTCACTTATGATAATGAACGGCATACAATTCCAGTATATGATTGCTTCACTATATTTCTGCAAACCGACTTTTCTTTTCTTACTCTAGTTACTTTTGAAGTTAAATGAGGGTACCTATGGTGTTGAATATACTAATAAATATGTATATTAAACTTTGAATACTTACTTATGTGTGTATGTGCAGGAAAAATATTTAAGTCCAAATAGTAAATTTTTTCGCGTTCAAAATTGTTACAACCGACTTTTGTAGCAAACAAAATGGTTTTGTTATTTTGTCTTAACTTTGAATTTCCTAAATTTTTTTTTGCTAAATATTCTAACTCTTTTTGGTTAATGGAATGTTTTGAGCGAATCTGGTGTGCTGCCTATACTCACGATGCTGTATTGCCTTATTGTACCAGATAGTCCTTGTAGCCACGTAACGATTTTAATTGCTTTTTCAATTTTGTTATTAAGTCAGAAGGTTGCACCAGTATGGAAATATCACGACCCACCGAGTTAAGGCGATCACGTATCTCATTTTCTTTGAAGTACAAATTCAAAGGACGTCCATTGATTTCCGTAAGTACCCAAAATGTAAGTGTTGTACCATCACAAGATTGTGCCTAGAAAATATGTAAAATATACAGTTATGGACAATAAAATCAAATCATACTAATACTAGTAATACTAAGCAAATATGTAGCTTTGATGAGCAGCTTTTTCGTGGCAGAAATATGTCGTACATATATGCGCTAGGTTTGCCGTTACCTGCCGAAGGGCTTCCGCTATTATATTTTTTCTTAAAATAATTATTAGACGATAGCAAAAAATGCGGGTTTAATAGACGAACTTTAAAAAGCAACCGTTTTTAATAAGAAACACATTTTGTTTAGAGAACCTATAAAAAAAAACAAGCAGTCCTGCTCAGCTATCGGAAAGCCACAACTGCAAAATCTTCTCCGACGCAGTTGATTCACAAATGGTTTGCTGCGATGATTGTGATCAATGGTTTCATTCTCGTTGCGTTGACGTCACTGCTTTCATTGAGCACGTGGACTGGCACTGTGCAGACTGCTCGGGCACCTCATTCGGTAGGATAGGAGCTGGAATAAGCAAAGGTGCCTCCAGCAATGCTTGCGACCCAAAGCCGAATAACGAGTTAGAACGCACAGCTAACTCTGTAGCCAAGCAGGGAGCTACTTGCATGCCTCATGCGGGTACTACCACAGCAAATCGGCACATCAGCTCGTCGACTTGTAAGCGATAAGTCGGCTAGAGCTCGACGACGCCGTACTGAAGCAGAACTAATCGTCAAAAGGAGGAGCTACTTAATAGGCGCAAGAAGCTCCTGTATGAAGTGGAGACTGAGGACGAATGTTCTAAATTGCAAGAACTGGACGCGGTGCAAAAATGGCTTGATGCAACCGGGCCTACCTTGCCCCCTATGATGTCAACAAAAGCATCGCCTGAGTGTCATCCGACTGCAACCGACGTACGTACCGGGCCTTCCAAACTGCTCCAAGAACCAACGCAACGTAACTCCCAAAGTTACTACCCGACTACACGCAAGGACTCAAACTAAGGGAGAACATCCTTCGACGCAACCACAGGATCATTGCTGCCTTACCAAGCCCCTAAACAACGGCCCCTTTTTTGGCCACCTACCAACACAACAACGGAAATGTGCGAATTTTCTGATGGAGAAAACCTACTGCACTGCGCCAGGGCCTGGAAGGAGCAGCACGGAATGCGACAAGGAATCTGCTGCTGCATTATTCCTGTGTACCGCATATACTCGAGGTACTTAAAATGAAATTTGGTCGCCCATAACTTATCATTGCGGTGCTTCTGATCCGCATACGGGAAAAACGAGCCGTAAAAGAAAACAGACTTGAAGCTCTAATCGATCTCGCCTTGGAGGTACAAAATGTTTGCGCAACGATGAAAGCCTCAATCATGCTATGCCACCTGAACAATCCAGAGGTGGAGCTCGAGAAATGTACCGAATTTATGAGTTCTATATGTCGTCGCTGCCTAAAGGTGCACCATCGCATTCAGTGCGCATCTACTGCCGTGTGCGGTACAGATGGTTACGCCTTAATCCATCATCCTCTCCTTCATAATCAACGCGCTGAGACGGTTATCTCACCAATTGCTAACTCTGCGTACAACGCCCATAGCTGTGAGGCGGAATCAATCCTATTTCGGGTGGTGCCTGTAACGCTTTACAGTAACAATAATAAGCTTAACACATATTCCTTCTTCGATGATGGTTCTTCGCTCACGCTTATGGATGCTGAGCTACAAGAAAAAGTACAATTGAAGAGCACCTCGCAACCTGTATGCCTGAAATGGACAGCCAATACGCACCGGTATGAAGATGACTCCTAAGTCTTGGAGTTAGAAATCTCTGGAGACAATGCTAGAAGACGTTTGGTGTTGAAAGATGTACATACCGTGAAAGCTCTTGAACTATAAATATGCAGAATAAATATGCATATGGTTGGACCTAAGTCTACGATCCCCTGACGGAAAGGATAACGAACCTGTAGCTGAAAATACACGTTTGGGGTGGACTCTGAAAGGAGTTACCGGTAAGCAACAAAGAGCTTCAGGGTATCACGCATTTCATGCTTGCGACTGTGATACTGCCGCCAACGCTGAGTTGCTGCAGATTGTCTAGGAATATGTATGCTTAGACAACATAGAAGTCCACCGAAAGTCCACCAGCCTGATATCCAAAGATGACGAGCATTCAAATGAGCAACTGAGATCAACTACTAAATGCGTGGATGGCCGCTTTGAAACCGGACTTATTTGGAAACGAACCAGCGCTACGCTGCCGGATAGCCTACCACTTGCTTTATGGAGAGCTCAATGTCTGCAGTCCAAACTTTAAGCACGAACCTGAACTCGCCGCGAATTTGTCGACCAAAATTGCTAATTATGTGGCCAAAGGTTACACAAAACCCCTAGTAGCTGAGGCGGTGTTGGAATAGGGGTGTTGGTACTTGCCAATATTTCTGGTGCGCAATCCGAACAAACCGCAAAAGGTTCGAATTATTTGGTACGCCGCTGCTGAAACAAAAGGCGTGTCTCTTATCTCCATGCTCCTAAAAGGAGCAGACCAACTTCCGCAGGTCAGGATAAGGTCACAGGACCAGGATTATCAGCGTTTTGTATGGTTTGAGCCGGGAGCTGTTAAACCCGAAATTTTTGCGATGACTGTGATGACTTTCGGGGCGAGCTATTATTATTAGTATTGTCGATAACCATTACGTTGATGATATGCCTGACAGCGTAGACACAGTGGAGGAGGCCACTCGACTCATCAGTGCCGTCAGTTTCATTCACAGCCAGGGTGGCCTTCACTTTAGTAACTGGCGTTCGAACTCCAAAACTGTGTTGCGCGCTCTCAAGGTCAACAATATAAACTGCGAGGTAAGCTTGAGTTCTGATCAAGACATAACTGCTGAAAATGTTTTAGATCTATGGGGGCTAATCAAGAAAGACTACTTCACATTTCGCCTCGCTCAGCATCACAAAAACAAGAGTCTGCTGCTTAACTGCTGTGGTCCCACCAAGAGGGAAGTGTTAAGTATCGTCACGAGTATTTTCGACCCCTTAGGACTGCTTAGTTTCTACGTTAATACGCAAAAATATTGTTCCAGGAGATATGGCGCTCCGGATGTGGCTAGGACGACTACATCTCCGATGAACACTATCTCAGCTGGCAGAGATGGGTGAGGCTGCTGTCGTAAGTAGAGTCGTTACGAATACCCCAATGATATTTTAAAGATATGCAATGCCTATTCTGCAGCGTGCTACCTTTGTCACACCATCAACGGAGTCGTCGACTGTGTGTTAGTGAGTAGCAAAGCAAAGGTGGCGCCGTCGAAAATGCTCTTCGCTGCTCGACTCGAGCTACAGGCTGCGGCACTGGGCGCTAGATTAGCTGGAACTGTACTCGCCTCACATTCGCTGGATATCCGACGTCAAACGTACTGGACCGATTCCCGCACTGTTTTGGCGTGGATCCACTGTGATCATAGACGCTATTCCCAGTTCGTCGCATTCAGAGTTAGCGAGGTATTGGAGTTATCGGACTCCAAGGAGTGCCGATGGATTGCTTCAGCTGGCAACGTTGCCGATGACGCTACAAAATGGCATACTTTACTTGACATATCTAATCAAAGCTGATGATTTTGAGGAGGGCAGTTCTTGCAACGTTAACGTATGTATTGGCCGAACGACACAGACCACCAACGAAGAGCTTAGAGCCCGGTACGTAGGGCACCACGGTACCGCAGAGCCACATCAGGGTTTTTTTGTCAATACACGAACGTTTGTCGCGATGGTCGCGGCTTTTGCTGATAATAGCCATAGTGTTAACAAGTGCCCGGGACTGGAAGCACTGTTGTAGTCCACCGCTTCGTCAACGAGTCGAAAAAGGTTATCTTAAACGCGCCGAAAGAATGATGTGGAGAGAAGCCTAGGCTGATGACTTTGCCGACGAAATTGCCCTACTTTCGAAAGGAAACCCAGTAGGTCGAAGGAGCTGCATCTACGAACTTTCGCCTTACCTTGATGAGGACTCCATCCTTTGACTCGATAGTATAGTTAAACTGAAAGGGTATCAGAACCCGGTTATACTGTCGGAAACCCACAAAATAACCCGACTGCTCATTCTTGACCACCATATCCAAGTACTTTCAGGGTAGCGCGGGCACTGTGGTGAACGAAATTCTACATCCCATGACTGCGAACAGTTGTTAACAAGATGCGAGGCAAATGCAGCTACTCCGCGCCCGCCAAAGATGAGCTGCTTGCCCCCCGTCCCGAATGACTACCTTCGTCTGCCCCTTTTCCTACGTGGGAGTATATTATTTCGGCCCCCTGCTGGTAGTAGTACGCAGAAGTACTGAGAAACGGCACGGAGTGCGTTTCACTTGTCTCACAACAAGGGCTGTTCAAGTAGCTTATTCGCTGTCTACGAATTCGTGCGTCCTCGATGTTCGAAATGGCATGGCTAGGCGAGGCACAGCTCATGAGTTCTGGAGTGGCTACGCTTCTAATTTTAAAGGCACTCGGCGAGAGCTTACTACCGCCTTCGAAGAAATGGATAAGGAGAGGTTAGTAAGTGCCTTCACCACATCCTCTATGCAGTAGAAGTTCATACCGCCCGCCTAGCCGTATATGGGTGGCGCCTGGGACCGGCTCGTGCGCTCTGTAAAATACACACCATTCAGGATACTGCAGCCATCACGCCTTTCTGACGAATTACTGCGCGGTGCTTTAATGGAGGTGGAGTCCGTGCTAAATTCACGTCCGTTTACACCTACATATGTACATCCCGCTCGATCATTAGGTAGATCTAGTGGTATGAAACCTTTAATGGAATGGGCTGTAGGACCAAAACGATTGAGAAAAGACTGGAAATATGCCCAACAAATGGCCTACCTATTCTGGAGGCACTGGTTACGTTAGTACATACCCGTGATAACGCGAAGTACTAAGTGGTTCGAGAACGTGAAGCCGATTGCTGAGGGAGAGGTCGTCTATATCGTCGATCCTAATGGCCACAGAAACTGTAGGCCGAAAGATAGAGTAATTTCTGTGAGGGTAGGCCCCGACAGGCAAGTTGAAGACAAATGCTGGAATATATGATAGACCAGCAACGAAACTTGCCACACTTTACTGATATTATGGGCCGTGATATATAAAAAATAATAATAAATCGGTTTTTGGTATTAAAATAGCTTCTAAATATTTAAGTTTTTAAAACCCAGTTCTTAGTGTACTTTTTCGTTGAGAATTTATGGCACTGCAGCAATCGGAAGCCGAATAACTCCTTATGCACATATAATTATTTTCTCCTAAATGTGCTACTGATCGCTGAAACGGTAGATAAAATTATACAGGAGTTGATAGATATATTAAATATTTCAATATGCCTGTCAAAATAAAGAGGTTTCAAAAGGCTCAGAGCCGAAAATTTTTTTTGGGGGACGTTGCCACCTGTTTGAAAATTTTGTTTGTTTTAATTAATAAGATAAATTAAATATTGCAATATGGGTATCAAAATAAAGAGGTTTAGGAAAGTTTGCTACCGGGAATATTTGAGGAATATTTTAAACATTACAATGCTGGTGTTCAATTAAAGCGGTTTAAGAAAGTTACTGTCGAAAATACTAATTGAAAAACTTAATTCAGTTAAATTGACAAGATAAGGTAAATATTGAATTAGTACACCTTTGAAGAAAGTTCGCGATATATATGTAGACTGGAGTTATAAGAATTTAAATTAAATTTCCATGAGAAAGCCAAGTAGCATACAAAATAAAGAATTCTTCATAAATTAAAAATTTGTTTGAAAATCTCTTATCATAAATCTCTTTACTTTATTTTCCAAAAATTAGGCCATACGAGACTGGGAAGGGAGGAACAATCCAAAAATACTTTTTTCATGTCGTTAGTATGTTAATTTAGTGGCCAAGGCATTCGGTGCCAAGCGTTCATTGTAGCAAGCATACTTTTAACGTGCGTTCTGTCAAACCAACGCCAAAGTCAACGCGAAAGTTCTATGATGTCCGGCCTTTAAACACATTTTTATTGATTGAACAGTCACTTACAATAAAATTTGTCAGCTACAGATGTGAATTGATTGACAGACATACCGCCCGATTCCCACAACACTGACAAAATTCATCGTATGACTATTGTCACAATTATTGCGCCTAAAACACAATATGTATAAACATTGAGGTTGTTTCGCCGTTGTCGCGTACTCAGTAGGTCATAACAACAACACTGACAACTGTCACCATACGAGATTTAAAAAAAAATTTGCGGCATAGTATTAGGCGCAGTAGTAAAGGCAATAGTCAGCCGCTGAGTGTTGTCAGTGTTGTGGGAATAGGGCGGATAGTTTACATATGTGTTGATTTACGAGTACCCTTTTTAACTGAGATGACTAACCTTTTAGAAATTTTCGAATCAGTTAAAGAAAACTCAACTTAAAAGGTAGTACAAAATATTGCAAAGAAGTACATTTGACTGTACTTCGAAGTACGAAGTACAACGGCTCAAAAAGAAGTACTGTACTTCCGAAAGAAGTACGGTTGGTCACATTGTATAAGCCAAATTTGTATTTAACAACGGACTAGCATAAAAATAAGAAGCAGAGTATGCATTTTATGGAATAACAAATTAGCAGCGATTTTAAAAACGCTTTTGCTATATTTAATGACGAATTTCTGGTTAATTATTTCTGATCTTTTTTTGTGGCGTCTTAATATTAATTTCAGTAGTGTTATTGAGCTTTGCACCACGATGTATAATAAATAAATAAGGTGTTTAGATATTTGTTATTCTTTTAATTTACTCAATAATATGTATACAAAGGTACCAGTCCAAAAAGCAACCAAACGAATTTTGTACTCACCTTAGGCGGCAGTCCGTGCCGTGCAGCTAAGCTATTTGGCACTACATCGACAATGGTCGCTGAATTACCATCCCGTATTAGACCCAAACACTGACCCTCACGTTCTCGTCGTATAGCGTAGCCGCGACCGAATGGTATACGACGTACGAGCACCTCGACCTACCAATGCAAAATGCATAAAATTCAATTATGTTAAAATAATTCGAATATTATATCTGCATGTAAAAATGCACATAAAGCAAAACAAAACTTACGAAAAGCGTGTTAGTGTTGCGAATAATTTTATTTGCCTCACTCGCAGTAGTTACCGCTGTACCGGCTATAGAGAGAAGTTGATCCCCAACATGTAATGCATTATAGAGCACCGGATGTTCCTTTTGCTTCCAACCTGCTACCCTGAATTTCAAATTATATATGTAACTATTTGAAAATTTTTTCTTGCAAAGCGCTTCAGGTTTCTTCTACCTACCATACAGCACCAAATGCATCTACCCAAGCAATGGAACCAACGCAGTCTTTTCGACGCAGCTGCAGTCGCACACCGCCCGGGTGCATAATTTCACGTCGTAGTTGCATGACTTGGTGTTCGCGCAATGTCATGCGTTTATTCGCTGGTGAATTAGTAGCACCGCTGTGTGGAGGCATCGGAGACGATATACCCACGTTGCTACCAGGTCCACAGCCGCCTCCACCACCACCATTTATTATCCCATTCTCTACGCTGCGAAATGGTTGGGGCGGCTGTTGAAATCGTAGCGCTATATTACGCCCACCAGGAAGTTCATTGTTATTGGCGCCACGTGCCACGCCTGTGCGTGCATCCGAAGTGGAAGAGCTACGTCGACGTTGTTCCAGCAAATCACAATTACGATTACGACCGGATTGTGGCACATTTGAGCTGCCACTGGCGGTTGCTGCTGATGTGCTGTCGCCATTGTTATTAAATGTCGCTGTCAAGTTACTTTTATTACCACTCCCAGCTGCAGACTTGCCTTTTCCTACAACAGTTTTAAGTAAATGAAAATCTCTGCGACTCGGTCGAGTCGTTATCACAGCTTCTGTAAGACCGCGCGTTAGTAGGTGACTACGAGTTGGCAAGGGATGCGCCATAGATGTTGTGTTCGTGGTGATAGTAGGAGCGTTGTGCTGCGTCGTAGCTGCAACAATTAGATGTGACGGCGGTGGTGGTGAGGACGTGACTGTACGAGTCAGTATATTTGTAGGTGTTGCTATGCGACGCCTATCTGATGCCGGACTGCCGTTAGGCGGATGAGCTCGCGTCATTAGAGGAGACTGGATTGTTTTGTGTCGACTTTTTGGCGGCAGCGATGGCATTTCCTCGCTAGTAGTAGTTGAAGGGCTAACTGTATGCGTTGATGTTGTGTATTTGTTTTGCTTTTGTCCATCGGCTACCGGTTTAGGGGAAGAAGGCTTGGAAGGGCCATCGTTCAATGGGTTTCCAACTGAATTGGGCAAGACCTGAAGTGAAGACATGCAATAATTTTCATTATATACATATGTTATATGTACCTACATACATAAAAGGGTAAGTATATTTACCTCAACTGTACGTGTGTGAGCCGGCAGATCACTAATCACAGTAGGGGAGAGTATCGACGTTGTACACATCGCTGTGCTTACGACTGTAGCGTTTGTTGCCATTTCCTGTGTCGGCGGAACGCTAGTCGATAGAAAAACCTTTTCATAATGCACCGAACCTATATTGTGTTTGATTGTTGCATCTTCAGCTGTGGCGCGATTTTCCGATTTTGTCAACACACTAGTATTATTCACTGTTATATTTGTTATACCAGAGGTATTGGCCGACAATATGATTTTTTTCATCATTTTTGGTGTACCTCCAACAACAGCTGCCTGTGAATGAGATGCATTCGACTCTGTTGTGTAGCAAGTGCCATATAAGGACACAGTATTGTCACTTGCCGTTACTGCTGGCGTATTTCCAGTTACATGTACTGTTGTTATCTTAAGCTCCTCCGCGGTTGTACCTGTTGTTGATGCAGTAATGCCCTGGATATTCTTTTTTGCTGGTGTCGCATATTGGGTTGTTGTGGTAGTGGTTGTAGCATTAATAGTTGTAGTGCCAACTACTTGAATTGTACTACTATTTGCTTTAGTGGACGGAATAATTTGTACATTACTTTTGTACTCAGGCTGTGTCGTTTCAGGGAACTTGAAAATTTCTCCTGTCACTCGTTTACTGGACATTTTCGCACTGGTTTTCGTTTCGTTCGGTTTTGCAAGTTCATTCGAATCGTTATCGTTGGTCGATACCTGTATGATGGTGATGTTCATTTTATCTAAGTCTAGCTGCTCAATTGAATCATTATTAGTTGACGAAAATGAAGTATTTTGCCATGGTTCAACTTGAGGATCTGTGCTAATCTCTAGTGCTGTAATATTATCATTACTAGAGGTGGTAGAAACATTATGAGTTCCTGATGATTTTGCGGTATGTTTTCGTGACGAATCTGCAGCGCCGGCGGATAAGGAACGAGACGTTTGAAGCCTTCGGAAAAGAAAACAATCATAAATGACTCAAATAATAAATAAATAAATAAATAATGAAAAGTACTAAGCTTTTACTTATTTATTAATTTTTTACCAATCTGCTTTTTTTTTTTGTTATTTATGGCCTTATAACAAATATATTCAACAAAATGTTATTAAGCTTGAGACCGTTTCTAATAAAAAAAATTTGCGGAAAAACAACAACAGTTTACTCTTTGGTAGAAGTTATAGCTGCTATTACGGAGATCAACACATCTCCTGCAGTAGGGAGTGTTACTGCAGTGACAGATAAGGTCGCTCCGGTTACGTACACCCGACTGTCGTGTAAACTTCATAACCTTCTTAAAGTCGCCCATCTGGAACTCGACAGGTATTCGGCTTAAATGGAGTCAGGTAACTCGGTCAGACCGAGACCTAAATAAATAGTTGAATAAAATACTGCAACCAGTAGGTCTATGTGCCCTCAGCTTATCACAGTACCTCACCTAGCCCCAAAGTCTCTAGCAATTTAAGAAATGATCCCGGGGTGTAGAGTGTATGTGGTCCTCCCTTGGCCATAAATGCCCTATGCTCCTCTCTCTTCTACGTGCGATGGCCTCACACTCCCGAAAGAGGTGTAATGGAGTCTCCTTGGCAGCGTCACAGAAGCGACATAATACATAGGTCACTAGACCAAATTCCTAAGTTATACATGTGGCCTCTTAACCTGCAGTGAGCCGTCAAAATATCTGTAATGATCTTTATAGTTCGTCTCCACCAATTCTTAACTGCTGTTAATGCCTATTAGAACAAGGAGATTACAAATTGAAGGGGGCAATACCTCCTACTAAGTACAAGAAAACAAAAGGAGAAAAGCAAAAACTAAGAAGGAAACCTTGTCGCTCAGCCCATGTTGAAATTCTTGGAACCTATTTGAGCTCTTAACTACAGTTACGCCTCTGGTGGAAATATTCTGTTAGTGTTTCTCCAAGTAAGCTTTTGGATTGACAAAGACCCATGGTATTACGCCAATCAGTGCTTCTTTATCGTGTTGGGACCTATTGAAGGAAAGGGTTTCGGTCGTATAGGGGTCGTTCCCTGGTACCCAAAGCAATTGGAGGGTATTATTCTCAGCCAGAGCTTTAAGCCTCTCTACACACTCCAGAACCACGGAGGATTTGATTTCGAAAGATAAGAGAACCTCGAATGCCGCCTGGCTATCGTTTAAAATCGGGATCCTCTTGCTTCAATACTTCCATTGGACGTTAAGCACACAGACTGATGGCACAGACTTCCGCTTGAAATATGCTGGGGAATGTTTCCAGGAGCCCTGAAAGTTTCAGTCTAGGGCCATAAACACCTGATCCTATCACCTCAGGAGTTTTTGAGGCACCTATGTACCACCTTAATGTGTTTGCCTGAATAGAAGTCTTCCAGGTTGCCTTGCTGTGTGTTTCAACCTTATATTTTCTTTCGGAAACCGCTACTTTATGCATGTCGTCCCTGGGGAGCAGAACTAGAGGGAACTGGGAGTCCAGCCTGTCCCAGTTCCTGTAGATAAATCCTTACCTTTGCCACCTTGCACTCTCTCGCAAAATTAAGGAGAGCCCGCTTTGCTCCCGAGGGCTAGTCTTATAGTGCCCTCCCAATTCACAGCTACCAAATTGAGCAATTCTGTTGTCACGAGTTGGTAGCTTTAAGAATGAGCTTCAGCGGCAAGGACGGGAGGAAACGCCTTGTTGTTGTCTGTGTGTATTTTCCATGTCTATACTAGCTGCATTTTTTTGTAAGCGAGCGACAAAAGAACGCTCAACTCGGGGAAAATTTCCTTTTGCTTTGGTAGCTGGTAAGAAACATGTGATGAGTTCAACGGGATTTAGACATAAAAAACAATTGAAATTAGTAATTATGCGAGGTATTTGCGTAATATATATACTTATTTAAAATATAAATCATGTATGTATATACGAAAACAAAAATTTCCCTCTCCACTTTCTCATTAACAATTCACAATAGAGCAGTTTTTTCACTTAACAACACTACTCTTCGGGTTGCGTATTTTTTAACGACTTGGCTGAACTCGGATAAATAGCCGAGTTTGTGTTGTTGCTTAGCGTGTATTTCGTCATTTAAGCGAGTGTTCTTTTGTTGCTCGGTTGGAAAAGAATGGACCTATTGTCACAACCTCCGCGGTAGGTGGCTGGTACTGTGGAATACTGTCAAAGCCGAAGTATTGGCCTGGTAATGTTGTTGCGCTGCTAACGCCCAGAATAAAATCTGGGGCAGTAGCTATGGCAATACAAGGGGAATCCACTTTTCGAGTATATCTTGTTTTGTGAGCTTAACATTCTGAGGTTACTGACCTAACTCTGTCCACATCTCGGGCGAGGTGGTCAATTTTAAAATGGAGGGTCCTAAGTGAAGGTTCACTCTCGGACCATAGGTATATTGAATTTTTACTGGCTGTGTTTTAGGGAGGAGCTTTAGAACTCGCTTGTTTCGCCACCTAGAATTCGATTACAGAGCATTGACGGCTGCTCTTCTAGTATGCTTAGAGAATGGTTTGTTGCCAGGACGGTGGCAAGTAAAGACGCTAGAAGATATGCTATTGAATCTTTTGACAGCTTCAAATCGCCCGGTACGGATGATATCCTACATATGGTACTCAAAGAGGATACTGAGTTTTTGGTGGTGACCTTGAAAAATATTTTCATTGGACGCTTGCACTTGTACCACAATCTTGGAGACTAGTAGACGTTGCCTCGTATCCTTATCGATCATAGGGGCGACTATACTATTCATAAAAGCTTCAGGCTCATTAACATGATGTCTGTCATGCTGAAATATCCGGAGAGATAGGTTGAATGGCGCATTTGTAGTGATGCGCTTTCATCCCATCTTCAGCCTTTGCATCAACATGCGTATCAGAAGCGGAAGTCTTGTGAGACGCCTCTGCAAAATCTAGTTGCCAGAATTAAGACTTCCCCTCGGGAATTTCTGTAGACTATGAGGGTGCTTTTGACAATGCCACCTTCGATAGAACGTGCAAATAGGCTCTAAGGCATGGAGTAGATTCTGTGCTGATAAATTTCATTCATTCAATGTTGGCGCAGAGGGTCGTTAAGATTCAGGCACAAGGGGGTTAATATGTCATGTGAGGAGTTAATAGGCGCTGTACTCAGAGAGGTGTGCTCTCTTCATCGATCTTGGTAATTGATGCAATGCTGTTCAAACTTAACGGCTCTAATGTCTAATATTCTCTAACAGTTGTTTGCTAGAAAGCGCAAATCACACAAAAACTAGTGATGAACTCTTCACCACAAAGAGGAAGTTAGACGACCCTTTAAAGGAGTCACTATTAGATTTCTTTCGAAGTGAATTTTTTAGGTGTACTTGCTCCTAGATAGTAAACTTATATGAAGTCTTACGTTGAGCAAAAGACCTTCAAAGCTTTAACAGCATTCTGACAATCTAAACAGGTCTTTGGTAAAACTTTCATCTAGATAAATTTTGACTATTTGCGGCTTTATGATAACACCCATAATCAGCTACGCATCTGTGGTGTGGTGGAGCAGACTCTCAATCAAACTTCAAATAACGATAGCAGAGTGATGTACGAGAGCTTCACTAAAACACATGGGCGCTCTGGATGCACTGCTAAAACTACCGCGGGGAGGCGCTTAAGGGTATCTGTATGCTTAAAAGAAATGGGTTCTGGTATGTGTGTACAGTGTGGAGTGACGCGGAAATTGCAGGAGGCAAAGATTTGGACTTAAATGTCTATTCAATGCCACAGGCTAGTACGCCACCATTATCTTTGCTAAAGATGCAATAATGGCAGGCTTAACCCCAAAACTGTGCTTATACCCCGTGCTTATACATTGTATAATCTTTACTGATGGCTCTAAAATGCATGCAGCGTCAGAATCTTGATTCTATATCGATAGTAACGGCGGCAATCTTCACTTCTCTCAAGGGGAGGTATTTCAAGCCAAGCTATCTGCAATCCTCGAAGTCATGGACTACATTGTGGAAATAGGTAGAGAAGCAAGAGTTGCCAACCCCTTCAAAACTACGAGTAGGTCGGCAATCCAAGTCCCGACTAAATTATGTTGGAAAATATAACGAACTTGTTTTACTCTGAGTGCTAGGCCACTCGCTAGTAACTAGTAATGTGACCATCTTAGAGAAGTCTCAAACCGGGCATCCTTCGGTCCGTAACCAGTTGTAACACTCCGCCAGAAACTTGGTGAATATTTCGTTCAGCAATGACTGGCAAGTAGGCAAAACTCATGTTGACCTCAAATTCAGAGGTATGTTGTTTTACGAAGTAGATGGGACTGCACACAGATCCAATGACCGGAACTAAACCAAATTATTATGGAACCACCCTTTTCGATAAAAAAAATGTTCACGTGGTCTAAAGTTACCTGCTGGCAGAGTTGGGCATTATTCGAATAAATTGTTATTTAGATAATTATTCGAATAAAATTTTATCCGTAATATAATTATTCACAGCTAACTTATTCACGAATAAATTATTCGTGAATAAATTGCTTGCGAATAATTTATTCGTTATTTTAAATAATGAATAAAAACTCATTTTTAACACATTGAGCCACCTTTTACTTTTATTTCTATTGTCAAGGATTGTAAATTAGCTGAATTTTGTTTACTATTTTATCAAGAATACTAGCCCATTCCCTATGGTTTCGCGGCCCCCGGTAAGATTTTTTGCGTTGGCCAATGCAAGAATAGCGTTGTAAACCAAATATGGGTAAAGTAAAAATTCTCACACATATTTCTGCCAAAAAAATAGCGCCCTGATGCTATATGCAAGAAAAAATTCCTTTCAATGTCATAAGCTTTACCTCCACTTGTGAGATCTTTTCTAAGCGTGCGTAATCTTCTTCTATGATCTTGCAACTACAACATTGGTCCGATGCGTCAACCTCTAGTCTTATGTCATGTAGGCCAACAAAAGTCCTTATAAGGATGCTGAAGAGCACAGATGTGCGT